TTTCTCTTCTATATTCCATTCCATTCCTATCCTGTCCTATCCTATATTTTCTATTCAGTATATTATCTTATCCCCTCCCCTCCCTTCTAATTATTATTTTTTGTTCTGTTCTGTTCTTTCCCTTCCCTTCCTTTCCAATCCATCGTATTCCCTGTTGGAAGGGAATTGAAATTGTGACTTACAACTGGTCCTTATACTTGCAACTTTCACAGCACTTCTCACATTCATTTAATCAAAATCCAGGCGCTTGGTAAATAGCATGCATTCACCGTGGTTGAAGCACCCCAGAATCGCACGATTTCTATTTCTGACCTTCCCAGCTGGCTTCTGACAAGCCAAGTCAATGGGGGGGGGGGAGGAGCAGGATTCACTTAATGACCATGTGATTCATTTAATCATAGCACTGATTCGCTAAACAACCAGTTCAAAAGTAGCCAGAAAATCAGCTGTGGCTCACTTAACGACTGCCTTTTTTGGCTTAGCTATGGGGAACTCTTGACCCCAATTATGGTCAGAAGCCAAGGACTGCCTGTACAGGGGTCGTAAACCGAGGACTGCCTTTGCAGGATCTGTTGAGGAAGAAAGTAAAATAGCAAATTGCATTGGTCAGGGTGGCTGGCTTTTCTCTCTTTCCTTCAACTCAGCCGAGAGAAATGAAAGGCTGCAGAGAATGTTACTAGGTGAAATCTGCTAGAAATCAGGGGAAGATATATATATCTGAATACCATATATATATATATATATGGTATTCAGCTTTGTTCGGGTATTTTCCCACGTCATTATAGTTGTGCTTTTAAAGTTGTAGCAACGTTTCGGCAGAATCTCATCTGCCATCATCAGGCTTCTGTATTGTGTTCGTCTGTGAGTCAGACTTTCACAGCCGTTTCAGTTTTCAAGAAAATATATATATATTTCTTGGTGGGAGACAGAAAATTTGGAAGAATGCAAGCCTAAGAAGGACTAGGGGTGACATGATAGCAGTCTTCCAATATTTGAGGGGCTGCCACAAGGAGGAGGGTTTTTTCCCCAAAAGCCCCAGAAGGCAGGATGAGAAGCAACGGATAAAAACTCATCAAGGAGAGAAGCAACCAAGAAATTAGGAGAAACTTCCTGACAGTTAGAACAATTAATCAATGAAAGGATTTTCCTCCAGAAGTTGTGGTGGCTCCATCACTGGAGGTTTTCAAGAAGAGACTGGACAGCCGTTTGTCTGGAATGTTATAGGGTTTCCTGCTTAAGCAGGGGTTGGACTAGAAGACCTCCAAGGTCCCTTCCAACTCTTATTATTCTAGGTTCTAATTCCAAGGGAATGCAGGTAGTCCTCGACTTATGACCACAACAGCCAGTTTTCATGCTTAAGGTGGGACTAGAACTCACCATCTCCTGGTTGATTGGCCCAAAGTCACCTAGCCAGGCAGGGTTTAGAATTAAGGTGGGACTAAAACTGTCTCCTGGTTATTGTCCCGAAGTCACCCAGCCCACATTCATGCCTAAAGTAAGACTACAACTCACTAGTTCTCCCATTTTGCCTTAACCGCTAGGCCAAACTGCCTCAAAAGTTGCTCCGAGATTGCTCCAGCAATCTTCTGCTCTGCTTCTACCAATGTCCACAACTTCTACAAACGTGTTGGCCTAAAGATGTTTGGTGGGTGATAGTGGGTGATATTCAAGGGGCTGCCCCAAAGAAGAGGGAGTCAAGCTATTCTCCAAAGCACCTGAGGGCAGGACAAGAAGCAACGCGTGGAAGCTAATCAAGGAGAGAAGCAACCTAGAACTAAGAGAAGATATTTCCCGACAATTAGAGCAATCAATCGGTGGAATAGCTTCCCTCCAGAAGTTGTGAATGGATACTCCAACCCTGGAGGTTTTTAAGAAGAAACTGAATAACTGTTTGTCTGAAATGGTATAGGGTGTCCTGTTGAGCAGGGGGTTAGACTAGAAGACCTCAAAGGTCCCTTCCAACTCTTATTCTGTTATACTTTCATCTGTGTGAGAGGCAGCAGCAATGGAATAAGAGATGTTACAATATGCTTATCTCCTTCCAATAAGAATCAGCCTTCATCACACATTAACCCTTAGGCAAATTAGAAAATTGTGACAAATTAACGACCAAGTCAACAAATCAATGAATTTCAGATCCGGCAGCATTTCCTACACTCAGCATAATTTTACATAAGTGCTTTATACTAATGCGAACTGATTGCAGAAAGGATACAGGCATTTTTCTCTCCAACATAATGATGTGCAGTTAACTTTATTTTTTTGGCAATGATAATCACACACACACACACAAAATCACCTTGTCCATCTCCATCTCACTATTCTGGATTTTAATTTTTTTTTAAAAAGCAAAACCTGAGATGAATCGATGGAAAGCTCCTATTTACAGTTCTGGCTCAATAAATAAGAGAAGGTCGAAGGTCAAAAGAAACAAAGAATTTTTCTTATTGAAAAATGGAGAATACTACGAAAAAAAAATGTTCCGATTTCAGAATTGTGGTCAGGAATATTTACAAGATGGAAGCCACAGGGGAGAACTATTGATTGAAGGTTGATTGAACATCAAAGTTAAGTGTTCCTCAGCTCTTACGTGGAAAATGGTTGCCAAGAGATGGTAGGTTCTCCAAAATATGTCCACATCTGTTGGTTATCTTCTCAGTTTTCATCCTGGTGAGTTTTGTGGCGCAACAATGAAAGAGATAGAAACCAACAATTTTGTCACCAGACTTGGTATCCTTCACAGATGTATCAACAGATACATAGGAAACCAAAATGATCTGTAGGCCGGACAAGGAATAATGGATGGAAACTGAACAAGGAGAGATTTAACCTGGAAATAAGGAGAAACTTTCTGACAGTGAGAACAATCAACCCATGGAACAGAAGTTGCCCTCAGAAGTTGTGGAAGCTTCATCACTGGAGGCTTTCAAGAAGAGATTGGACTGTCCTCTGTCAGAAATGGTGTAGGGTCTCCCACTTGGGCGGGGTGGGTGGACTAGATGTCCTACAAGGTCCCTTCCAACTCTGATTATCTGTAATCTAATTTGTAATCTGCTATTCATGAAGCCTTTCATGGGTAGCATCCACCCAACGGTGATGGACTTCTGGACGAAGCCACAGGATACGATCTTGGATCATGGCAAACGAGCCCAGAAGCTAATCACTATTGAAAAATGGTCCATGTTGGTCAGTCAAGATTGGGAGAAGGAGCTTTCATGCGTGGTTGCTCAGAATTTTCTGGAATAGTTTGAAAAGGACAACTTAACTCCTTCACAAACCTGGATGTAGGAAGGCTTCGTACCTTATCAAGAAGTCTTGCTTGCAATCTTGATAAGGTGCAGTGTGAATGTTTTCTAACCATCATTTGCAGCTTAGCTTTCATCCGTGGGTGGAGACCCAACGTTAATCACAAATATGCTGTAAATTCAGAAAAAACACCTTTATTTTCTAGGACCAACAGCTTCTATTTTCTACAATTTAGAGCACAGCTAGTCCTTCACTTACAGCCATTCATTTAGTGACCGTTTGAAGTTACAATGGCACTGAAAAAAGTGACTTATGACCGTTTTTCACATTTATGATCATTGCACCATCCCAGTTGTCACATGATCAAAATTCAGAGGCTTGGCAACTGGCATGTACTTATGCCAGTTGTGGTGTCCCGGGGTCATGTGATCCCCATTTGCGACCTTCTGACAAGCAAAGCCAATGGAGAAGCCAGATTCATTTAACAACCATGTTGTAAACTGAACATCTGCAGCGATTCACTTAACAACTGGGGCAAGAAAGCTCACAAAATGAGGGAAAACTTACTTAATTTTCCTGTTTAGGAATGGAAATTTTTGGGATTAAATGTGGTCTTAAGTCAGGGACTACCATGTCATAAATTCTGGTTGTAAGTTGAGACGTCACGTGGCAGGACATTTTCATTTAGCAAATGCCACAGTTGTTAAGTGAACAACATGGTTGTTAAGTGAGTATTTTCCCCAATGGGCTGTTTTTTCTTTTTTTTTTTTGCCAGAAACTGGAAATTAATGCCAAGAACTGTTAAACAACCTCGCAAATTGTGGTCATGTGACCACAGCACTCTGCAAATTCCTGCAAAGATGAGACAGTTGCAAAATGCCAGAAAATCATGTGACCAGGTGTGTGGCCGTCATAACTCTGAAAACGGGACATAAGGAGCTGTGGGAGTTTCCATCGTAACCTCAAAAGTTTGCTAAGCAGCCGGTCATAAGTCGAGAACTACCTGTATTTCAGCATTCAAGGTTCAGGAGGTTTCTTCCAGTAACCTTTGTAGAAAATTTAAAAAAAAAAAAGAGAGATCTCCCAATGAAGGAAGATGATTTTCTGGGAGTGTGGACTGCAGAAAGGAGGAAGAGGAGGAGCAGGAGGAGGAAGAGGAGGAGAACTGTGAGGTCCTCTCTGAGCTTGGGTTTTCTTGCAGACGTTTCATGACCCAACTAGGTAACACCATCAGTGCTACAAGGGAACAGGGTTTGTAGAGAGGAGGAGGAGGAGAGGGAGGAGGATTGTTGAGTTCTTGGTACCTTCTGAGCTTAGTGATTTTCTCGCAGATGTTTCATGACCCAACTACGTAACATCATTGGGGTTAGAAAGGAATGTAGGGTTTGCAGCCTGAAGGGGAAGGAGAAGGGGAGAATGAGGAGGACGAGGATAGAGAAGAAGAAGAGGAGGAAGAGGACTGTGAGGTCCTTGGTGTTCTCTGAGCTTGGCTGCTTTCTTGCAGACGTTTCATGATCCAGCTAGGTAACGTCATCAGTGCTGGAAGGGAGTGGGGTTTGCAGAGAGGAGGAGAAGGAAAATGAAGAGGAAGGAGGAGGAGGAGGACTGTGGGGTCCTTGGTGCTCTCTCAGTTGCTTTCTTGCAGGCATTTCATGACCCAAGTAGGCCACCTCATCAGCGAAACGATTCTGTTTTTCACAGCTGATTTTTCCATTCCTTCCTGTCCATTCCAGCTAGTTCTGGAGAAGCTTTCAAAGAACCACTTCCGGCAGTCTTGGCCTTCAAAACATCGAACAACCCCTTCGATTCCAGATGGGGGAAAAAGGAGGAGGAATTTGTCCAGGCTTAACTTTTCTTGTTCTGAGTCTCTGGGCCCCCAGAATTTTGTCCCAGTTCTGCTTGCAAAAAAAAAAAAAAGCTTTAAAAATAATAAAGATAATAATAATGCCAAATACTTGACTCCCAAATCCTGTTGCTTGCAGCTTCCGCTTGCCTGGGCGGTTTTCGGCTTCTGCGTCTCAAACCAGAGATTTTTCAGCTTGAAAAGTGGAGCTGCGTTGAGTTTTGGGGCTGCAGGCAGCCAACATCGAGATCTGGGTGGTGAAATTGGTGCCACTGCTGCCAACAGACGGGTGGTGATACTTCGTATCCGAACCCAGGAAGCGTTCCATATGCCACCTGCGCCATTTGCGTTTCATTTCGGCTTGAACCTGAGACGGGGGAGAGGAAAAAAAAATACATTACGGGATAGTCCTTGAGTTACATCCATTCATTTAGTGACCGACAGCACAGAAAAAAGTGACTTAGGACTGTTTTTCACACTCACGACCATTGTGCGATCCCCTAGGTGATCAAAATTCGGGTGCTTGGCCACCGACTCATATTTATTTATTTTTTAAACAATTTTATTTGGGTTTTCACAAAACAAAACAAAAACATCTTTTTTTAGTGAACAGCTTGGTTCCAGGTTTTCACAACTATCTCAGTTACATATTCATCTTTCATATTTTATCACTACTTTATATATTCTTTATTAATTTTTCCCTCAAATACTTCCCTCAGGCTTACTTTATAGCTTTCTCATTCATTTCTAAACCTATTACATATCCTTTTCAAAATTTCATACCTTCATAATAATTATACTTGTACTTTTATCTGTCCTGTTTATAATTTTATTACATATCCACATTTCTAACATTACTAAAACAAGGTTTCCCCTATAGTGGCCAATTAGAGTGTGTCACCTTTATATCTTATAGTTAGTTCCCTTTCAAATCCTATTAAACATTCTACTTTTAAATTATCCCATTAAACAATTACAACATTCATCACCTAATAGCTATATTATAACATAAATCCCTTTTTACCACCGACTTGTATTTATGACGGCTGCAGTGACCCGGGGTCATGTGTCATAAACTGGGAAGATGAAGCGACCAGTCATAAATTGAAGACTACCTGTAAGATGCCTTTAAAGGCAATCCTCAACTTATAACCACAATGGAGCCCAAAATTTCTGCTGCTAAGCAAGACAGTTAAGTGAATTTTGCCCCATTTTAAGATCTTTCTTGCCACTGTTATTAAGGGAATCACCTCAGTTGTTAAGTCAGCCTCAGGGTTGTTAAGTGAATCGGGCTTCCCACATTGACTTCGCTCATCAAGGCAGTCGCAAAAGGGGATCACATGATCCCAGGACACTGAAACCATCATAAATACGAGTCAGTTGCCAAACGTTCTGAATTTTGATCCCCTGATCGTGGCGATGCCGCAATGGTCATAAGTGCGAGGAAGGGTCATAAATCACTTTTTTCATTGCTGTTGTAACTTCGAAGAAGTGACTAGACGAGATGTCACAAGTTGAGGACTATCTTTAAAGTTATACTGGCAAAGCCAAATTTGGCTGATCTTCCAAAGCAAAGCAAGAATAGGCTTGTTGAACGGATGGGGCACCAGAAGGAAATCCTTGTGGTACTGGGCCTGGCTAGTCTAGGGAAGAGAAGGACCAGGGGAGGCAGGAGAGCAGTCTTCCAATATTTGAGGGGCTGCCCCAGAGAACGAAGGGGTCAAGCTATTGTTTAAAGCACCCAAAGGCCAGACAAGAAATCATGGATGGAAACTGAACAAGGAGAGATTCAATCTGGAAATAAGGAGAAACTTTCTGACAGTGAGAACAAACAACCCATGGAACAGAAGTTGCCCTCAGAAGTTGTGGGAGCTTCATCACTGGAGGTTTTCAAGAAGAGACTGGACTCCCATTTGTCAGAAATGGGGGTTGGACTAGATGACCTACAAGGTCCCTTCCAACTCTGATTATCCGTAAATCCTAAACTGCAGGAGGGACTTTTATACCCAAGAAAATGCGTTAAAATCAGGCTAAATGAGACCAACCAAAATCCGGCAGAAAGGCAATGCAACTTCCCCATCAAGAAAACGGCAAAGTTATACAGGTTTCGCCCCATTTTATGACTTTTCTTGCCGCAGGTGTTAAGTAAATCACAGTTGTTCAGTGAGTAACACGGTTGTTAAGTGAATTGGGCTTCCCCTCATTGGCTTGGCTTGTCAGAAGGTCGCAAAAGGGGATCACTGCAACCGTCATAAATACGAGTCAGTTGACAATTGTCTGAATTTGGATCACCTGACCCTGGGTCGTAAGTGTGAAAAAAATGGTCATAAGTCACTTTTTTAAAGCACCATTACAACTTCAAATAGCCACCAAGTGAACTGTCAAGGACTGCATGTATCCGTGCAATTTCCAGACACGGTTTCTATTTTCAGGATGTATTTTATTGGGCTGATATTCTGCGTCTGATGGGATTAATCTGGAAACTCAAATTTAATCAGAGCCACTTTGCATTAAAATCGAGCAGTAATTAAAAAAACCTTAAACCCCTCCAGGATCCTAGATTTATCTTATATCGGGCGGTTACTGGAGAGAGATTGCTTTATAATTAATTATTCAGATCAGGTTTTGCACCCCTGGCCAGGTTTCCTGGGTTATTGCAAAAATTGTTCCTGTCTGTTGTTATGGGATCCACACCAGCCCCTTCGTTAAAGGGCCCAATCGACCTTGCAAAATTAAAAGGCAAGTGTCATTAAATTTATTCTATGCATTAACTGACGGGGGGGACCAAAAGCGGGAGATGATTAACTCCAGAAGCCAAAAACCCTCCCCTGGGTGGACAAGGTTTCCAACATCTTACCTCCCCGTTGACGAAGCAATACAGCACCGCGACCACGAAGCCCTAAAGGAGAGAATGGGGGAAAAAAGAAGGAAAGAAAAATTTCAACCCGGCAAACTCATTGTGCAGGATGCGATGAACAGAACCTCACGAATGTACATTCTGCGGGGGTCCCTGGTGTTTTCTGAGCTGGTGGGTTTCCTGACAGACGTTTTGTGACCCAGTCATCAGGAATAGAAGGAGTGGGTTTGGGAGGAGGAGGAGACAAGAGGAGGAGGAGGATGACAACGACAACTGTGGGGTCCTTTGTGCTGAGATTGGTAGTTTTCTTACAGACATTTCATGACCCAACTAGATAACATCATCAATACTGGAAACTGGAACTCCCTCCCTTCTTTCTTTCTTTCTTTCTTTCTTTCTTTCTTTCTTTCTTTCTTTCTTTCTTTCTTTCTTTCTCTCTTTCTTTCTTTCTTTCTTCCTTCCTTCCTTCCTTCCTTCCTTCCTTCCTTCCTTCCTTCCTTCCTTCCTCTTTTTCCTATTCTTTCTCTATTTATTTGTTTTTTGTTTGTTTCTTTTTCTTTCTCTCTTCCTCTCTCTTCCTTACTTTCTTTCCTTACTTCATATCTCTCTCTCTCTCTCTCTCTCTCTCTCTCTCCCTCCCCTTCTTTTTCTTCCTCTCCTCCTAATCCTTCCTTTCTTCTCAGCACCTACTGTTTTGGGAAGAGATTCTACGGCTGACAGCCCCCAGCCATAAAATACCACCCACCATCCCCCCCTTTTGACGCCAGGCCCTTTCGGACACTCTCTGAGTATTCTAGGAAACGATACCTATAGGACAATGGCGGGAGGGCTCCAAATCTGGTGATTTTAAGACTTGTGGGCTTCAACTCCCAGAATTCCCCCAGCCAGCTCAGTTACTTGAGGAGTTCTGGGAGTTGAAGTCCACAATCTGGCTGAGGAGTTCTG